CCATCTAAATATGGTGTTTTCAACGCTCTTGCTCTTGTAACAAAGAGGTCTCATATGTTTAGTGGCACTACAAAGTGTGTTGAGTCGAGAACAATCACAAAGGATAGCTGCTGCTCAGATTTGAGTCCAGCTCTAGCCATGTTGAGGTGGCAAAGAAGAAGGAGGAGCGCCATATTTAAAGTCATACGCCCTTCAATAGACACAGCACAATGCCAGTGTACTTCCCCTAGAATGACATCCCTACATCTAGAGGTAGAGCTTTCTCTAATTCATTTCATACTGATTCATAAGAGAAAAGCATTAGCATGCTTAATTTCCATTAAATGCAACAACTTTCATCAGAAAACAAATATTTACAGTTTTGAAATGTCCCACACTACGTTCACCATGAGATCATTTAAACCATTAACATAAAATATATCGATTTAGCAGCTATTTACAGATAAGGTATGTTTTGGTTGTATAACCCTAAGTTGTTACCTGTTTGACAGAGATGATAAAATACACAGTTTAACAATGGACAGCTGATGCATTCTAATTCATTTACGTCACATTAAAATGACTTCTCCAAGGAAAGGATTTCTCATTTCAATAAATGCTTGTTTCACCAAGCCCCCTTTCCTCAAGCCTCTCCCTCGCCTCCTTCACTCGCATTTCACAAGGGGTCAAGTGTAGGACCAGGGGAGGACCTAAGTGACGCCACGCTGACAGCTCGCGTTAGACGGCAACAACCTGTCACTCAAAGGCTGCACACTCAATTACGCAAAACTTTAGGCATTAACATAATTGACAGTTTTTAAGGTTAAAAATGCCCCCGTGCATTAACAGAGAGATTAGCTACAGACCGAAATAGTTTTTGCAGCAGGCTGTAAACGGTGTATTTCTGCTGTAAAGTGGGACAGATGAACAGGGGTTGCCACTCACTGGGAGCCTCGAGTGGTCACTCGGGGAAAGCAACTGCAGTAATATGCTTTGCTCAGTATGGTGTGTATGAAAATATACCAATGTTAACACGTCTTTGCAGGGTTGATATTAAAATGAGTTAAGCTATGAACAAATCAGCTGATGGAGCTCTGATTTGATATGCACTGTGTGTTGCAGGCGCGGGGCTGAGCGGGCGGCAGATGCACCGGACGCAGGGCGTGTTCAACCACACGGAGGACTACGTGCTGCTGCCAGACGAGCGCACCATCAGCCTGTGCTGCTGGGACTCGCGCACAGCCGAGAGGAAGAACCTGCTGTCTCTGGGACACAACAACATCGTGCGCTGCATCGTGCACTCGCCCACCAACCCTGGCTTCATGACCTGCAGCGACGACTTCAGGGCCCGCTTTTGGTACCGCCGCACCACCACGGACTGAGACGCAGCCCCCCCTCCACTCTGCCAGGAGCGCACACTGTGCTGAGAGCTTGCTCTAATCATTTGTATTTCATCTTTTGTGGGACAGTACTTGAGGAAAGAAGAATTGAGTTGTCACTTCTCTGGAAGTTTTTGTCATATTTGATATCGTATGTTGTAGTTGACAGCAAAGTTGTCGCTTGTCTAGTCCACTTTCATGATTTCTCTTGCCTTTGTTGTTTTTCAGATTTTTAATAAACCATTAAAAAGAAGCTTCTTTTGTGTATTTAATGGTGAAAAGCCCCTTTTAGAACACATAATCACAGCTATAGTCATATCCTGTAGATAGTTTAAGACTACAGGGAGCACACACACACACACACTAATAATTGTAGATAAACATATTTTATAGACCAGGGGTGCCCAATACGTCGATGGATCGCAAAGGTAGTGTGGGTAGATCGCATGGCATTGAAAAAGAAATATATATGTATATTGTTTTATTTTTTTTAAAGTTAGCCCATCATCCATCCTTACTATGGCATTTGCCACTTGATTGATGTACAGGTAAGCCAGTCTGAGTTGTATTGTGCCATACGGGTTCATGCCGTTATGAGGGGGCCTCGCCTCCTCATCTGAAGCGCAAATGCGGCGCACTATTATGCGCTTATGCGGCGCAATTAGTGTAAGCGTGCCACACTTTATCTGCCGTTTAGTCCACAACACAGCCTGTACTTTTTAACAGAGTTTATATATTTGTGACCTGCTTGTATGTACTTACACAATAGGTGGAAGGTGGTTATTGTGTTTTTGACAAGACTAACTGTGTGTAATCCTGCCATACTTTGAAAAGTGTCAAATGTTCGGTACAAATGTTACGAAAATATAATTGTGCAAATATTAATACATTGCAAATATTAAGCATACTATCCTGCCCAGTAGTTCAACACTTTTAATCTCAATCAGATCCGATCACATTTTGAAATCCCATTGTTTGTGATCCAGGATCAGACAAGTCGGACAGATTTTATCCCAGTATTTCAAAGCAATTCAGGATCACCCTGATTCAGATTCAGACTTTTCAAGATGACTAGATCCTGAATATCAGTGCTTTAATCCTACCGATCTCCATCTAGTGGATATGAAAAATAATACAAGGAAGACAAGAGACCGCATTGCAGGGACATCTATAATGTCTAATTAATTATATTTTTAAATACATAAAGGACATAAAATCATAATGGAATTGTTATTAAAACAAATACTCCCACTAGGGTAACAATAAAACATTAATTCAAAGGCAGCTGGATCATCCAGGCGTGCTTTGAGGAGCTGAATTCTCAGTGAGGTTTCAGTTTGCTGAAGCCGGCACAGCTGTATTTGTTCTTCGGCCAGACGGATCTGCCCTCTCCGTGTCACGGCTCAGCAGAGTCTCGTAGGCATCATCCCTCTCCGTGTCACGGCTCAGCAGAGTCTCGTAGGCATCATCCCTCTGCTCTGGTTTTCTGGTGCGCTTGCATTTTCTCTTTGGAGGTGGCTCTTGCAGTGTGTCATCAGGCCTGGCTGAAGCTTCTGGATCCACATGGGTCAGGAGGACCTCATCTTCAATGGTGTGTGTCACATCAGGTGCAGTGACGACCTGAAATGAAAGTTTATCAATATACTTTATCCCCTTAATAAGATGATCACAAGCATGCAAGCTCCTGGACAATTGTAGTACTATAAAAACAAGGATGCTATATAAGAAATATAGCCATTGTAGTACTATCACACATACCTGCGACTCACCATCCAGGACAACGTTTGGTATTCCATGTAAAGATTGTGACTGCTGACCACCAATGATATCCAGTACCACATCTGTGTATTGTCCCCTTTTATGGTTTGCTACCCGTCTGTGGGTTTTTAGCCTGGCTGTAGTCTTTGGTAGCTTGCTGCTTCAAATTCTCCCACCTCAACCTCACTTGGTCCACCGTCCTCTTGTGTCCAGATCCTGTGGCATTCACATTGTCTGTAACTTCCATCCATATTCCGCTTTACTTTAGTCGCTCCACCCTCTCTGTTAAAGCTACCAACTATGGAGTCATAATTGTTCCTTACACCCAGCAGCAGTGCATGGGTCTCAGCAGATGTCAAATCAGGCCCCTTTTTGTCCCATCTTTCCAACTCAACGGTTTGGTCAGGTCAGCAATTAGTTTTTATTGGTCTGGCCGTTACTTGCGATCAATTACATAATTAACCACAGGCCCTAACCAATCTGGACATGCATTCCAGGTGTATATTTGCAATTACTATTTATTCAGAGACTCATAGGCCTACTGACTAGGGGTGTAACGGTTCACAAAAATGTCGGTTCGGTACGTACCTCGGTTTTTATGTCACGGTTTGGTTCGGTACAACAGAAAAAATTATCACAAAACATAAACAATTTTTTGGGTTTTTTTAATTATTATTAAACTGTGAATAATGTATTCACTGAAATAAATACAAAATATTATAAAATAAACATTAAGGTGCAGCATTTCGATGAACTGAAATAATCTGTATTTGAACTTTACTGTACTAGTACTCACAAAACAAACTATTAGTTTTGGGTTTTTAATTATTATTAAACTGTGAATATTCACTCAAATAAATACAAAATATAATAAAATAAACATTAAGGTGCAGCATTTCGATGAATTGTACTGTACTAGTACCTAAGCAGCCAGTTTGACATTATGACTTGCTTGTCATTGTATTTTCATGTTTTTTTAAAGAAAGATGAACTTGTCCACATTGTTTGCCGAAAGGGCAGATCTGCTGGCACTAACAATGTCTCCTGCTGTGGAGAACACCCTCTCTAGGGACGGAGGTAGCAGATACAGCCAGGTAGCGCGTTGCTAACATGGCAACATAAGGATATTTGGTGTTTGTAATAGCTTTGGCTCGGTCTGAACTCTGCGAGTGGTGGAGGCTTAAATGCTAGTGGGAGTTGGGTTTGCACTTCAGTCTTTTTTCTTTTGGTACCGGTGATATTCACGTTCGGGTGATGCCTTTTCAAATGAGTGTGCAAGTTTGATGTATTCTTTCACACACACATACGGGTATTGGGCCGAGGGCGACACCGTACTTCCGGTATCCGCCGTTTTACGCGAGGTGCAAGCAGGCCAAGGGTTTAGCCGTACACCGTCTAGGTGTTGCTAAGCTTCCTGTACTGAATATCATAGTCTATTGCCTTAATCAATATCTAGTCAACTCTAAAATACCACATATATGCAATGGCATGATAATATTATTGTGACAAGTGGGGTATTCACCTGGTGTTTCCAGAAATTAGACGTAGATGCAGCCAAAATTACGGTGGCCGGCAGGTGCAAACGCGGAACAACGGCCCAAAACGCATACATAAGCAGGAAACACCTGCAAATAATGAAATGAAAAACAAACAAACCCTGAAAACAAATACAACAGAAAAACGCTGCATTTACAGAAATGATGCAAACTAAATACAACACACAAACCCCGTAAAAAAACGCTGCAAATACCAAAATGATATGCAAAGTCCAAAGCACGTACAAATCCCAAAACACGTACAAAAAAACATTCCGGAAGTGCTCCAGGCCTCTAGGGGGCGCGCTACGTGGCACATATTGATGTCTGACCAGACATAGAAAGAACGAACAAGAGTGATGGAAATCGAGAGGAAAGAAAGTTCATTTAAGTGGAGAAAGATATAAGAAGGTAAGTTTTGTTTTTATACATAGAGCGTCATATTTATATAGCTAGCGTTAGCGTGCCTAACTACTACACCAGCTGAGGGAGGAGAGCTTCACGTGAAGAGAAGATACAGTGAGGGAAGAACATTGTTAAAAGAGATGACAAATCAAGTGCAGGCAAATAACACGGGCCATAGTGAGTACCGCGGAAAAAGGACATTTGAATTCTTAGCAGTTTGTTTATATGTATATATTTGTGTATAGATGTTGCAACTATACAGAGCTTTAGCAATTACCTGTGACTATGGTCATGCTAATAAAGCTATTGAATTGAGAGAGAGAGAGATGTGACAACATGTGAAGAGGGACAAAGTAATGACAGGAGAGTAGTGTGCATTAGACATGCTCAAGAACAAATATAGAGACATTCAAGGAGAGAGAGACAAAACACAGATTCAACGTTAAACATGATGTATCTTTCTATTTATTTAGCTAACCACTATTTAGACTATGTGTTTTTGATTAACTTGATTAAATGGATTTACTACATCAATGTATGTATTTTCAGGCCGCCATGTTGTGTCCTTTCTGTGGCCAACATCTGGGGACAGTTCAAGTGTTCTGTGGCTCCTGTGGCAAACATGTACAGTTTGTGGCAGAAGTTGAACACAACAGTAAGTTCACTTTTTGTATTGTATCTGTTTCAAATGCAAGAAATAAGGATTCAACACACTACTCTGTTTAGAATACTAATTGGAGATGCATACACTAGTTATCAGCATGAAGGACACGTTTTTTCATTATCTGTTTATGTGAAATATGTAGAAGCCATCATTACATTTTAGACCAATGCATGATTAAATACACAAAACAGCTTATATTATACATTCATAATTGTGTATTAGTTGTATCTTTATAGAGAACATTATACATTTAGAATCAGATTTTGAGACAGTGAGCGGCTGGGAAAGTCACACCGCCATGGGGCACAAACAGTTGCCGACGTGATGTTTTTCTTCATTCTCAGGCGTTCCATAAGGAGGGTCAGGAACTCACGCTTGGGACCACCAGTGTCCCCTCCATCCTCAGTTTGTCCCTCATCATCAGTGAACTTAACTGACGTCTCATGAGGGATCGAATGAGGCACCTTTGAAGCCGCGGATTGCTCCATCCCACACATTGGCTCTATTCATATTGAACCTGCTGCAAGATGTATTTGTTATTTTTGCAGAGAGTTCTGCAACAAAGTCCGCCGCAGTCAGGTATTCTGTGCTGGGAAAGACAAAGTGATGTATTGTAATATTAAATGATGAAGCTAGTAATAAGATTTACAGAATAGAATAGAAAAATCAAGTGGTAATAGTAACAATTAATACCTTTGCTCCATTTTGTCTTCTGGCTCAGACTGGCTATCAATAATGATAAGTGCATACACAGTTGTGTAGTTGCTGCAGTGAGAAGACAGTTGAATAATACTTTCAAATACATAATATATGCATGACAGTCATATTTACAAAAGGATGTCGATCCTCTTCCTGTTTTTCAATACATTGGGTTCTAAACTGACAACAGCACTTTGTCATACTCCTGCACAATCCTTGTAAACATTTGAAATGGATGCAACAAAAAATATCTGATCTTTGAAAAATATCTGTGGGTGTTTTTTGTATCGTCTTCACTAAGATGTCAGATGTTGTGGGTGTCATTTGTAAATGTATGAAAGTATAATTGTTCTGCTTCCTGGCAATGTTACGCACTGTGATTGGAGGCTATACAAACAAACAAATGTAAAATAAAGATACACAGCAAACAACTGTGTCACGATGCAACTGTCAACATCGTTTACCTGTAGAAGTGGTTCTGACCCGGGGCAGACTGGACCTCTTCCTGGAATGGGGTTGGTGCTGCATCCTAGTTTTACCCAGGAAATAAGTGCACACAAAGGTATTTATTGATTTAATGTTCACAAATTCAAACCTACATGGTATAATTACATTTTGAATTAGTCTTATCCGATCAGCGCTGGTTGTGGTGCCTGAGAGGTCTGATAAAGACCTTTTGGTAAACACTTTTTGGTGTCTATATACGCCGGGATCCGGAGTCATGGATGATCCTGCGCTCCTCTGTCCTGGATCGCGAGCCCTGGATCTTGAGTCGTGGCTGTGGTCCTGGATCATAGGTCCTGGATGGATATCATTGTGGATTCATCTTCCTATTATACACACATGCATTTCCAAACATTTGGACTACCTATGTTGCAAATGTATTATCTTTTCAATTTACACACGCCATCTATTACACGTCTGTCCGTCCTGGGAGAGGGATCCCTCCTCTGTTGCTCTCCCTGAGGTTTCTCCCATTTTCCCTTTAAACTGTGGGTTTTCTTCGGAAGTTTTTCCTTGTACGATGTGAGGGTCTAAGGACAGAGGGTCTAAGGACAGAGGGTGTCGTATTGTCATACTGATATTTTGTACAAACTGTAAAGTCCACTGAGACAAATGTAACATTTGTGATATTGGGCTATATAAATAAACATTCATTCATTCATTCATTCATAAAGATAAACAACAAATATATTCAAACTACTGTACTGTTAAAACATTCTGCTTCTTGTGGCACAAAATAATATGTTGACAATGTTTTATTTTACCCTGGCAAACTGTTGTCCATTCGTGGAGTGCTCACTTTTGGAACATTTGGAATGTCCCACACCTGCATTCACACAAATGACTGACTGAAATAAAATAAATTCACTTTAATTAAGAATAAATGCCACGATAAATCCAAACTGACCAAGGTACAGTATATTGTTGACCGTCCTTTAACTCTCACATTAGGATTTACATTGAAGCACAATAAACCAACTCCTCTCTGCACCTATAATATATCTATATGATGTCAAGAGTTACATTTAGGTGCACAGTGCTGTCTCTTGACTTGCAAGCTCTTTCACCAAACAAGCTAACGCTAGCTGGGTGAATATGACGCTCTTTGTATCAAAACAAAACTTACCTTTTTATATATCGTCTTTTTCCACTTAGATCAACTTTGTTTCCTCCGGCTTCAATTTGCAGCACTCTTGTTCGTTCCCTCTATGTCTGGTCAGACATCAATCTGTTCCACGTAGCGCGCCCCCTAGAGGCCTGGAACACTTCCGGAATGTTTTTTTTTTGTATGTGTTTTGGGATTTGTATGTGCTTTGGACTTTGCATGTGGTTTTGGTATTTGCAGCGTTTTTTTGTTGCGTTTGTTTTCGGGGTTTGTGTGTTGTATTTAGTTTGCATCATTTCTGTAAATGCAGCGTTTTTTGGTTGTATTTGTTTTCAGGATTTGTTTGTTTTTCATTTCAGGATTTGCAGCTGTTTCCTGCTAATGTATTTGTTTTTGGCCGTTGTTCTGCGTTTGCACCTGCCGGCCACCGTACAAATCGACGAAGGACACTTTCGAGGGTCGTTTTTCCATACATCTGCAGGCAGTCTGTAAGGGCAACCCACACAGCTCTAGTTTACGCTGGTAACGACCTAGAGCACACCCCTCAAGTCCAGAGATGTAATCCGAAGACATGCAGCGATTTCTTCGGTCGTTAATTCAGAAAAAAAACCTAGTGCGCTCTGCCTTGCTACGTTAGCTAGCTGTTTATATTTGCACTTCCAGGATATTTGCACCTCCAGGAAAATGGCGTATTTATATATATATATATGGCGCGTGTTGCATTGTGGGTAGCTCGTGACGTCACTGTGTGTGAAAGAATTGCCAGCCGCGTAACCAATTGTAGTTGAACAATGCCGACAAACAGCTTTGGTTCGGTCCACCTGTCTTTGTCCGTCATCCTTGTTCGTAACTGCGAAACCAAAATGTTCCCAAACCGGAGACTTCAATGATGCTGGAGGATTTTCGAGCTCAACTTTATCTGCGTTCGCCATTTCGACAGTTCCTCAAATTACTGACTAAATTTGAACGCATCCCTGTGACCAGCTCTCATAGTATGCCTCTCGTCCAATGAAATGACTTGCTCACTCTATGACGCGTTGAACCCAATGTGAGCAAATTACTCTCTACCTGAGATTACTTCCAAAAAGTTGTTCACGTTCTCAATTTTTTACGTTTAACGTTATATTCATTCGGTACACTTCGGTACACACGTGTCCACGATGCACATATCTTCAGAGAGAGCCGGTTGTTCACTGAATTCCAAACCAACAGGCCGGATGGAGTTATATTAGCCGACAGTGCCTACCCACTCCTACCATGGGTGATGACACCTTTTCCCACAGCCAACACTCCCTCACAGATGCGCTACAACAATGCCCATGGAAGAACAAGGTGTGCCATTGAGCGCTTGAATGGTGTACTGAAGAGGCGTTTTGCATGCCTCAACTATCTGAGAGTGGAACCCCAAGGAGCATGGCAAATAACACTGGCTTGTATTGTGCTACACAATATCGCTGTCCATCGCAGAGTCCCCCTCTCTGACATCGATGATCCCCCAGAGCCCCTCGCACCTGCTGATGATCTAGGCCCACCTATGGATTTCCCTCTAAATGAGAGACTGAGTGGTGGTGCAAGGCGAGATGCTATTGTCCGCAATTACTTTTGAAAGGTGATGACAGATGATGGACTTTTTTTTGTTGATATTTTTTATTTACCCTAAATTACATTTGTGATTGACAATCTTTGTTGTGATACTTTTATGAGCATAAACATTTATGTCATCAACATTTGGTTGAAAACAAAATAGGCAGTGCCGAGCCGTGACTTTTATACCTAGGCCCTCTGACCCCCCCCCTTCTCTCTCGAAAAAAGAAAGAGTTATTACGTCACAGCGTGTACTTCAGCAGAATATCAAAACAACGGTCCGGGGTGCAAAACGCATAAATGACAGCGAGCGACCCTATACCACACAAAACAACACCATTTATATAAACACCTATTATGACAGGGCACCCATAGCCAAGTAACAATTACAAATGAATTAAGTCGGCACGGCGGCCCGCATTGAAAATAACTTAGGCCTACCTTTGATGATCAAATCACTTAAACACAAAGTCCATCCTCCTGTCCTTTTGGATGAAGTACTTGCGGGTCATGCAGCTGATCCTTTGCCACTCCAGTTTATCATTGTAACTCAATCTTGAAAATGACTTGGTTAATAATTTCGCAACGATGTCATCACTATCACTGACATGAGCCATCATGAACGAACTTATGCTAATCATAAATCTATCGATCATAAATCTGTCGATCATAAATCTATCGATCAGATTTATGATTAGAAAATAATAAAAGTAGGGTAGACATGTGGATATTATCCGGCTGAACAAAACGTGCATTTATCTAACATGTTCGTTTTCCACAGACCTTATTTTGAGCTATTTTCCAAAATCCTATGGAGAAATCCCATTGCTTTTTTGTCGAGGAAACCCAAGCGCAGCTTACTTCCAGGTATTAGGACGCATGCACCACTATGGCCCATTCCCAAACCGCCCCCTACACCCTACCCCTCCGTTTGCGCGTTCACGCGGAGGGTCCGCCATATTAAGGGCTGTTCCAAACCAACGAGTGTGGAGCGGTGTGGAGGGGGAGTGGGCTATCAAGCCCTCAAACAGCGAGTCTGCATCGGTGCTGACTTGAGACCGGTCTCTACCTGACCTACCTGAGTCACGCTGTGTGTGTCCGTCGGGAAACAAGCTGTTTACAAGTAGTTCCAGCAAACATCCACTGATAAACTGCGATGTTAACAACCTCATGATAACCTCATATGTTTTAACTTGAGCCGCTCCTCCTTCGCGTCGAAAGGAGCCAGTTGAGGTGGTTCGGGCACCTAGTTAGGATGCCACCTGGGCGCCTCCCTAGGGAGGTGTTCCAGGCACGTCCAGCTGGGAAGAGACCAAGGGGTAGACCTAGGACCAGGTGGAGGGATTATATCTCTTCGCTGGCCTGGGAGCACCTTGGGATCCCCCAGTCAGAGCTGGTTGATGTGGCCAGGGAAAAGAAAGTTTGGGGCTCTCTGCTGGAAATGCTACCCCCGCGACCCGACCACGGATAAGCGGGAGAAGATGGATGGATGGTTTTAACTTAGGATCATACCTGTGTTTAGGTATGAAAAAGGTAAATGTGTGCATTTTATTATAAAGTTGTGTTTATTTACAGACTGTTGCAAAAACTAAGAAGCTTATAAACATCAGGTTTAAAACTAAAAGAGCTTTACAAAAAATGACAGTGAAACACAATGAAAGATGTTTGGAGTTTTATTTGAGTTATTAATTTACATTTTTTGTCTAAGAGATGCTGATTTTAATTTCCTGTTTCTGCCGGAGAGAGGGGAGGCCGTCCCAAAGCTTGCTGCTGTATTTACTCCCTCCATCTGACAGGAGGGAGCCTCGTTGAGCTGCGAGTGTGGCTACAGACGGAGTTCACTCCGTCACGGAGGGGTAGGGTCGAGGGAGTGGTTTGGGATTGGGCCTTAACACACATGCATAAACTTCACAGCGGGCGAAAC